GCCCCAGATCTTGAAGGGCCTTTAGGTGCAGGCTGGGGAATCGGGGCTTTGTTCAAGAGGAGGGCAAAGAGGCATCTTGAAGGGGTTTGCTGGGAGGAGACTCCAGTCCTGGCCCCAGGAGCTTAAGAAGTGAAGCTGGGCCGGGCGCGGTGGCTCAAGCCTGTAATCCCAGCACTTTGGGAGGCCGAGACGGGCGAATCACGAGGTCAGGAGATCGAGACCATCCTGGCTAACACGGTGAAACCCCGTCTCTACTAAAAAATACAAAAAACTAGCCGGGCGAGGTGGCGGGCGCCTGTAGTCCCAGCTACTCGGGAGACTGAGGCAGGAGAATGGCGTAAACCCGGGAGGCGGAGCTTGCAGTGAGCTGAGATCCGGCCACTGTACTCCAACCTGGGCGGCAGAGCGAGACTCCGTCTCAAAAAAAAAAAAAAAAAAAAAAAAAAAAAAAAAAAAAAAAAGAAGTGAAGCTGGCTTTCCCGCTCTCCAGTGTACAGCATCCCAGATTCCCAGGATGCTCCACCAACCTCCTTCTCCACCTCCATGGTCTCTAGGTCAAGGTCTCTCAGGGGTCCGGCCCCAGGGCAGGTGTTAGGTCTGGGGCCTGGGACAGGTTGTCCCAGCAGTCAGTGGGCTGGGAATCTGCCCTGTCTGGACACTGGGGCCCTGGGGCTGGCCGGGCCTGCTCTGTGGAGCTTTCTTTCCTCCTAAGATAGAAGATGGAGATTGTCTGCCAGGAGCCAGGGTTCCCTGCCTTGCACGGGCCCCACCCTGAGTGGCCCTGCAGTTGTCTAAGGAGGGGGGACCCTGCCTCCCTGGCCCTTCTCCCCCTCACATCTGCCAAGAGATGATCCTGCTCCCTGTCTCCTGGCCCTCTTCTATCCTGGAATCCGAAAGCACTTTTCAATAAGGAAGTCTGCGTGGATGTTTGATGAAGTTTATATGAGGACTCTTTTTGTCTGGGCAGGAACTTGAGAGACGAGAGCCAAGCTTTGCTGGACATCTTCCCTGTGCCAGCGGTGTGTTGTGTTGGCTCCCCCAGCATGTCCACTCAGATACCACTGGACATTGAAAATGTCACCTGCTCAACATCCAACTCGTGGTCTTCCCACTGAAACCACTACTCCCAGAATGCCTTGTCTCCTCCAGTGACTGTTCCATCCCTCCACTCCGGCTGCTTGGCCAAAACCCTGCAGAGTCATGCTTGACTCTTTTCTCACCCACAACATGCAATCCATCTGCAAAGCTCTTTGGCTCCACCTTCAAAACATAGCCTGAATCCAGCCACTTCTCACCACCTCCGCTGCTCCACACTGGTCCCAGCCACCACCAAGCTCTCTCCCCTGGGCCTCAGCAGCAGCCTCCTGCCCGGGCTCCCTGCTCTCCCATTGCTCCCCTTGTCTGTTCTCAACACAGCAGCGTGTTAAAGCCTCAGTGAGATCATGTCAGTCATCTGATCAAGCCCTCCTTACCCCTCGAGGCCCAACACAGCTGCTCCGCGCTCCCATCCAGCATCCTCTCCAGCCACATCATCATCCTGCAGTGAACCAGACTCACTTCTGCCTCAGGACCTTTGCCCCTGCTGTTCCCTGGCTGACCTGCTTCTCCCAGACCCTGCAAGACTGACCCCCTCACCTTATACCTACTCTGGATTTCTCCTGAGATGTCACCTGCTTCTCGGGGAGGCCTTCCTGACCACCCTGCTTAAACTTGCAACTGCACTTCCCACACCTTCCCTCTTTCCTGCATGAATTCCCATCATTGCACTTGTCACCATCCATCATACTGTGTATTCATTCTGTGTATTGTCTGCACCTCCCTGCCCCTGATGGAAGGTATTAGGAAAGGAATTAATATCTGTTTCATTCATCTGTGATTCTCAGGGTCTGCAACAGTGCCTGGCATGCAGCAGGTGTTCAATGATTGTTGAATGAATGATTGGAGCCAGGAGTGAGAGGGGTTTTATAACGTTATTGCGATTCCACAGCCCGCTAGTGGTAGCACCAGAGTTTGGGTTTGTTTGGCATGCAATTCAGAGTGGGAGAAAACAGTCAAGCCTAGGCCACAGGGAAGGGGCAAGGGCAGGGAGGGCTCCAGGCAGGAGAAGAAAGGAGCAATATGGTCACGTTTGTGCACTTCGCAACAACCAGGAAACTGCTGCATGATCTCGAGCAAGTCATTTCCCTTCTTGGAGCCTCAGCATCTTCACTGGGCAAGGGATGGGGATGGAGGGTGTGTGAGCATCTTCCCCTGCTAACATTCTGGGAGGCCAGCCCTGCTCACTGGGTGCACAGTGGCCTCTGGCAAGTGCTGGCTTTCCTCCCAGCCTGGCTCCTCCTTCCTCCTTCTGTGCCACTCATGGCTCTGGCACCAGCAGGAAGTTCTGGGCCGGCTGCTGTGTCCCTGGAAGGAAGCAACTGGAGCGGGCTGAGAGCTTTATGACTTACCTGGGCAGGGAGGTGGGAGGGGAGGCTGGCTGGGGTCTGCCTGCCCACCCTGCAGCTCCTCAGTGGGACTCTGCTCCTTCAACTTCCCCCACCCCCCACTGCCAGGCCAGCATCCCTGGATGCCCATTGCCCTCTTCCCCTGGCACCAGTTGCACGGGGACAGCCCCAGATGGCTCCTTGGCCTGAGGACAAAGGCTGTGCTGTGCCTGGCCCTGGGCTGGCCTCAGGCTGGTCATACTGAGTCCTTCTGTCCCCACTTGGGGGTGAGGGGCAGACAGCACTAAGGTGACAGGCCTTTTTCCTGTCTCCCTTCCCCCTCAACCCCCAAATCTGAGGAGCTGACTCTCCCAAGGGAAAAATGACAGAGGCATCTTGTGTCTTGACCTAGGGAACAACAGACTATTCACTGCCCAGTCTGCCCTGTCACACCCAAGACCCTGCTGGGTTCAATGCCCCGATTGTCCCCAGCAGAGAGAGACATCCACTCTGCTGTGGTCACCACCCCCACCGCCTGCTCCCCTGTCACCATCAGGAAGTCCATCCTACATCTGACCTGCATCCCTCCATCAGGAAGTCCATCCTACATCTGACCCCCATCCCTCCATCAGGAAGTCCATCCTACATCTGACCCCCATCCCTCCTGCTACTGACAGACACTTCCTCTCGGGCTCCTCTCCTGCGGGTGGAGAACAGCTGGTCTGCATCGCCTGCACTGCTTGGCCCCACATTCTTGCTCCACTCAGCTGCCTCTGGCCTCACCCTCCCTCCGTCTCCCTGCGTTCACCCCACCCCAGGCACAGGCTGGTGGCTCCTTGCTCCTCACTGAACCTTGGGGAGAGCAGGTGTGACGCAGGGCTGAATCTCCTTTGTCTTGCAGAAATGGGGGGCCTCCTTCCCGGAGGCTTTTAATGAGCTCCCCTCCCCTCAGCCTACAATCGAGAGCAAGGGTGTGAGATTTATGGCTGCTACTTGTAGATTCCTGAGCTGCAAATCCAACAGGCCATCCCATAAATCCCAGACTGCAGGACAGTTTTATGGGGAAGCCCTGTTTTTAGAAAGGGGTGTGGCTGGTCTCCCTCCTGGCAGAGCTCAGACCCCAGGGAGCCAAGTGCTCGCCTCTCCCCACCCCCAGAGAACAACCATGACAAAGCAGGGGGACATCGGTTGGTGCCGTGCAGATGCGCCGGCTTCCAGGACAGAGAGACTTTCTCTCCTGTGGGGGGCCTCCTGCTCTGAAGATCCCCTGCCTCAGCACAGGAGGGTAGTCTGGAAGCCTGGGCAGATAACTGTCCCTGACCTGGACCTTAGATGTTTCCTGGTCACGGCTCCAGGTGTACATCATTGGAGATGTTTTTTCAAATGCATTTTCCCAGACACCATTCTCAGAACCTCAGTTCCAGAATCTCAGGGTAAGACCTAGGAATCAGAATTTTTTTACAATGCTCCCTGGTGATTCTAATGCTCAGCTGTCTTTGAAAATAGTTGGCTGAGTGCAGTGGCTCATGCCTGTAATCCCAGCATTTTGGGAGGTCGAGGCAGGCAGATCACTTGAGGTCAGGAGTTCGAGACCAGCCTAGCCAACATGGTGAAACACTGTCTCTACTGAAAACACAAAAATTAGCTGGGTGTGGTGGTGCAGGCCTGTAATCCCAGCTACTCGGGAGGCTGAGGCATGATAATTGCCTGAGCCCGGAAGGTTGCAGTGAGCCAAGATCACACCACTGCACCCCAGCTTGGGTGACAGTGAGACTCCATCTCAAAAAAAAAAAAAAAGAAAGAAAGAAAGAAAAAAAGAAAATAATTGATCTGTAAAGGGGGCCATCTCCACTCTCCTATCTTACTTGGAAATGGGAGTCACCAGGTAGGAGTGTCTGGGTCCTCTTGTCACTGGGACCCATACCTCCTGCCACCATCACGAAGCCTCCAGTGGCCTGGATGCTATACACAAGTGTGAGGCTTGGTGGCTGCCCTCTGGAAGCTTCCTGTCTGCAAGAGTCCTGCAGACAGCAGACCTGAGACATTGCACAGAGCCATGGAGGAGCAGCTGAAGATGACTGACAGGAAGGAGTTTAGGGATGGGGAATCAGGAAAGTCCAAGGCTGGTGGGCTTTGCCAAGGAAGCCAAAGAGGAAGCACTTTCAGCTACCTTCTCATCAAAGGAGGCATCACCAGCCCCTGAGTTCCTTGAGAATAGGGACCACCCTTTACTTGCCTCTGAAACCCTCATGCCTGGCACAATGCTGGCGCATATTAGGTGTTCAGTTTTTTTTGTTTGTTTGTTTGTTTTTTGAGACAGAGTCTTGCTCTGTCACCCAGGCTGGAGTGCAATGGCGCAATCTCCACTCACTGCAACCTCCACCTCCAGGGTGCAAGCGATTCTCCTGCCTCAGTCTCCCAAGTAACTGGGATCACAGGCATGTGCCACCACGCCCCACTAATTTTTTTTGTATTTTTAGTAGAGACAGGATTTCGCCATGTTTGGCCAGGCTGGTCTCGAACTCCTGACCTCAAGTGATCCACCTGCCTCAGCCTCCCAAAGTGCTGGGATTATAGGCGTGAGCCACCATGCCCGGCCAGTTTGTTTGTTGAGTGGAACTGAGTGAGACTTCAGGGCCCACTGACAGAGATGGACCTTCCTAGCACTGCAAACCCGAGGCCTCCACTCTGAGAGGTGCCAGCCTGCTGAAGGAATGAAGGAGAGCCTGTTCATACCCAGCCATGAATCTCGGCTGGGATCAGGGTGGCTGGAGGGCCACCACTGAGCTGTGTTTGGGGGCAGCCAGGAGCATGCGCTGCCAGACAGAGGACCCTTTGCAGGCTGGCTGAGGACAGAAGGATGTGATCATTAAGCAAAGCCAACATGTTACTGATCCATAATCCCTTAAACCAGGAGGATTCGGGAAAGGCCTGGTCGCCTTGGCAACCAGGTGCTGGCCAGTGGCAGGGCTGAGAGCATCCTCCAGGAGTGGGCTGTGCCTGATGCATGGGTAACAGCTGGGAGCGGGTGCAGCGCAGCCCATCATAGGGCTCACCCCGTGGTGCCTTCTTGCTGGCATGGGCAGAAGCCCTTGTGAGGCCTCAAGGGCAATGTGTGCAGAGCAGGATGACGGGGGGCTGCACTGAGCATGTAGGAAACCATGAAGGGAAGTGGAGGGGAGGTGGGACAGTGCTGCTCTGGGTTTTCAGGGCAGGAGGGAGAAAGGAGGGTCTGCAGGAAAAAGCAGTTGCATGGGTCTCATTGGGTGGCCAGCAGGGCATCCTCTATGGGGGTGTCTCTGCCAAGAGGATAGAGCTGCAAGTCTAAGAGGGACAGGCATCAGCTCCCCTCCCTGCCTCTCTGTCCTGAGGGAGAGGAGGGTAGCCCCTCTCCCCCAGCCCTGTGCTCCTCCCCTAAGACCAGAGGGCACGAGGAGCTGGAGAGCCTGAAGAAGAAAGCTTTCATGGTTGGGGACAGGGCCGTGGGGGTGGGCAGAAAGCTCACACTGCTCCTGCATGGTGTTCTCAGTAGGGGATACCTGCCTGCCTGGAGGGCTCCGGCCTGGGAAGAGGCCAGCAGAGATCAGGCCTCATCTTCCCTAGGGCTCGACTGTATTCCTGGCAAGCCTCTGTGTTTGCCCTGAGACCTTCCACTGTTCTTGACCTCCCATATTTCAGCTGGAGAGGAGATGCAGCTGGCCAGCTCTGATGCACTCTTCCCCTCCCTCCTCCTTTTCCCCTCTTGCCTCCTGGGGCGTGCCAGAGCAGGGACCTTCATGTGTCAGTATCAGAGGTGAAATGAGGTTTGGACCCAATCATGTCCCAAGGGTGTTGGCCAAGCTGACATTCAGTTTATGGGCCTTGGTCAGTAAGATTTACTGGCCATTGACACATTCAAGCCCTTGGACACAAGTTAGTAAATTTCTCCTGGCCCAACGACTGCCCGGTTCTGGCACCCTCCCTGCCACCCCAGCCCTTCCCCCAGAACTCTCTAGACCTCTAGCAGCTAAAGGGCTCAGGTCTGGGGGGTCTTCAGGATCCTCTTTGCACATCATGCCTGCTATTATGACCAGTACTTTGCTGGACTAAGTGGTCCATAGAGAACTGCACGGGGTGTGGCCGGGTGGGTTGTTGGCGGGAGATGGGGGCAGTGCTGAGAGTTGCTGAGAGGAAGAGGGTAACTGGGAAGAAGAGGGTGAACACCCACCCTCAGGGGGGTCAAACTTTGGAGAAGACACAACCCTGGCTCCCAGTGATGGTGGCATACAGGTCGACAGAACTTGATGGAAAGAGACAGCTGAATTCCCAGTTGGTGGAGACCCAGACTGGTATGCCTTGTTCATTTCACCTGCTCTTCTCACACCTCCCATCTCAGGACCTGGCTGCCCGGTCCCTCATGATCATGAACAAGATGAAGAACTTTAAGCGCCGTTTCTCCCTGTCAGTGCCCCGCACTGAGACCATCGAAGAATCCTTGGCTGAATTCACAGAGCAATTCAACCAGCTCCACAACCGGCGGAACGAGGGTGAGAGGTCTGGGTCCACCCAGCACCTCTCCCACTTACCAGACACTCCCCAGGCACCTCCTTCCCTTCCCCGCCCAACCCCTCCCCACTGGCCTTAGGAGAGGAGCACAGGGCTGGGGGAGGGGGGGCTACCCTCCTCTCCCTCAGGGCAGAGAGGCAGGGAGGGGAGCTGATGCCTGTCCCTCTTAGACTTGCAGCTCGGTCCTCTTGGCAGAGACCCCCCGCAGGAGTGCAGCACCTTCTCCCCAACGGACAGCGGGGAGGAGCTGGGGCAGCTGTCCCCTGGCGTGCAGTTCCAGCGGCGGCAGAACCAGCGCCGCTTCTCCATGGAGGTGAGGGCCTCTGGAGCTCTGCCCCGGAAGGTGGCAGGATGCACGCACAGGGGTGTGCACAGGAGGGCAGCTGCCTTACAGCCAGACTTTGTGAGTTCAAATTCCAGCTCTGCCATTCATTAGCTCTGTGACTTTGAGCAAGTTACTCAACCTCTGTGCACCATGGTCTCCTTGTCTTTAAAATGGTCATCATGGATTAAATGGGTTAATCTATGCCAAGTGCTTAGAACATTCCTGAACTTAGCAAGGGCTAGACAATTTGACTATTTGATCCACACACATAGGCCCAAATATATGAAAAAATATACTTACAGAATCAGTGCCTGTAAGGGCATGAGATTGATGTTGCACAGATGGTGATACTGTGGCCCAGAGAGGCGGAGAGTGACCTGGTTGTGCTAAGGTCACACAGCAGCCCCGGGTGTTCATGTGTATGTCTTGAGCACACACTGGGAGCAGCTGTGAGCTTGGGGTCACAGCCTGTGATTGGGCTCTGAATGGTTGTTCTGCAGGGAACGCTAGGTCCAGAGTGAGCGTCTGGGGCCCCACAGCCCTAGCTACCCTGAAGCCAACAGTGGTGTCCCCATCTCATCCCTGTCACCACAGGATGTCAGCAAGAGGCTCTCTCTGCCCATGGATATCCGCCTGCCCCAGGAATTCCTACAGAAGCTACAGATGGAGAGCCCAGATCTGCCCAAGCCGCCCAGCCGCATGTCCCGCCGGGCCTCCCTGGTGAGTCCCAAGAGGGTCAGAGGACACAAGGCGGGGTGATATGCCCTTCCCAGCACAGGCATATCAGTCCCAGCTGAGGCCTATATGGTGTTTCCAGGAAGATTCCTGGGCCTCTGGCGCCACCTGCTGGCTTGAGTGCATTCAACTAGATCGTCCTCCTACATCATCCATTTCCTAGATGGGTCCCACTTGGGCTAGAATGGGACTCTAAGCCCACACCAGGTCCCACGATCTCTCCACATGGTTAAGATCAATAGGCCAGCTGGCATGTGCCTTCCAGTCCTAGCTGCCTATCAGAGCTGTTTGGGACATCTTACAAAACACAGACTCTAAGACCCCTCCAGACACCTATAGAATCAGCCTCTCCGGCTAGGGGGTCCGGGAATCCGTCTTGTTAAGGGTTGGATACACCTGAGCTAGAAGTGTGCTGATGAGACACACCGTCAGGTAGGTGGGTTCTGAACTGGACACTCAAGGTAAAATGGGAAAAAAGGCAGCGTTCACTCTGGAGGAGCTTGTGGTCTCAGTCGGAGACACAGGTAGCCAAGATGTGCAACAATCCCAGGTGCCACAGCCCTGGGCTCCACACTCTCGGCTGTCCTGAGAGGAAGAAACTCACAGTTCCATGAGCTCTGTCCTTTATCACAGGGATAAAGGGAAAACGAGCCCCTTCCACCATGGGGTCTCATCCCTTCCCTCCCAGAGGCTGGAGTTGGGGGAGGTGTCATGTCTGTGGAGCTGCTAAGGGCTTCAAGCTCATGGCATTCTGTGTCTCTCCCTCTCAGTCAGACATTGGCTTTGGGAAACTGGAAACATACGTGAAACTGGACAAACTGGGAGAGGTAAGAGGCTGGGTATGGTCTTCTCCAAATAGCCAGGCAGGATGGCTTGGAGGAGGGGCAGACCTCCCTGGTCGGCCCTCTCTGGTTGGCCCTCTCATGGCCCCTGCCCCATAGAGGTGCACAGTCTTGGCCGTGCACTCTGGCCCAGCCTTTGGCAGGGGTTGAAGTGGGCTCAGATCCTGAAGGAGGGCGTGAGGATAGAGTAGCCATGGCCCTGGGCAGAATCCAGTCTTTTTTTTTTTTTTCTTCAAGTCCTTCTTGCCTGGGTTCAAAACCTACCTCCGCCATTTACTAGCTCTGTGACCTTTGGTGAGTTACATGACCTCTCTGTGTGCCTCAGTTTCTTCCTCTGTCCAATGAGATAGTAACTGTCCTATCACATAAGGTTATTGCGAGGATTGGGCAGGTTATGTACAGCACGCAGACAATGCCTGGCACGTAGGAAGTGCTATATCACTTAAGTATTTCTGTCGTCACTGTGCAGAGGCCTGGGGTGGGTAAAGGTTTACAGAGAGGGCAACACACAGCCCTTTCCCTCCAGGAGCCCAAAGAGGTGACCTCTGTGTAAACATCAGCATCATATAGGGAAGAAAAAACCTGGTGTTATCATAGAGGGGCACACGGCGTGCTGGGGCTTAGAGGAAGGATGGATTCACTCCAACTGGGGGTCATTAGGGATGCTTCCTGGAGGAAGTAGGCTTTGGAGGAAACAGCATGTCAGAGAAGGGAGGAAGGGCACTCAGGCCCCAGTCATAGCCCAGGCAGAGGCACAAATGGGGAGACACTGGGCAGAGGCCAGCAGCACCTGAATGTGCCTGGGACCGCTGCGGCCCTCCATCCCAGGGCACCTATGCCACAGTCTTCAAAGGGCGCAGCAAACTGACGGAGAACCTCGTGGCCCTGAAAGAGATCCGGCTGGAGCATGAGGAGGGAGCGCCCTGCACTGCCATCCGAGAGGGTACAGCGTCCTAGGCTCCCACACTCCCCCTGGGGCTTCAGGAGGAGGGGTTCACCAGCCTGCGCCCTGGTAGGAGCTGGGGGTGGAGGGTCATTGCTGGAGTGGGACTCCTGGAGCTGACCCCAAGAAAAGAGGGTATGGGGACACATGGCGTCCTGGGGACCCAGGCAGGCCCGTCTCCCCGCAGTGTCTCTGCTGAAGAACCTGAAGCACGCCAATATTGTGACCCTGCATGACCTCATCCACACAGATCGGTCCCTCACCCTGGTGTTTGAGTACCTGGTGAGAGTCGGGCTGGGGCTGGCAGCCTCTCCCTCTTGTGGTAGAAACAGGGTGTGGGTAGGGGAGTGGGAAGCTGAGGAAGTGGGAGAGGTGGGATGAGGGCGAACCAGGCCTTGTTCTGGAATCAGGTTCTCAGATGTTCCCGTGCAGGAGTGGGCCAAGAGCTCAGGCTTAGGGGTGGCTCAAGCCAGGGACCTGTCCCACTAGTGGGCGTGGGCCCTTCCCAGGGAGGGGCTTCCTCTCCTCAGCCTGTGTCCGGGCTTCTGGCCATGGGGCAGGACTGAGTCACGCTCTGTGTTCCAGGACAGTGACCTGAAGCAGTATCTGGATCACTGTGGGAACCTCATGAGCATGCACAACGTCAAGGTGAGGCCTCAGGGGCAGGGTCCCCCCATCTTGGCAGCCACCTGTTCAGAAGCCCAGTGCGGGGACCCACTCTCACCTCCAGGGATCCGGCTGCTGGGGTGGCTCAGACCTTCTCACCTGGGAAAGAGAGAGAGGGCAGTGCCATCAACGAGTCTAGGAACTGGGTTGAGCACTTTACCCCAGGAACAGACACACACTCTCTGCCACTGTCTAGCTGTTGGTATAAAATCCACTCCCAACTCTGAACATCAGTTTCCCCATCTGTCAAATGGGAGTGTGAGCTACCTGCCAGAATGCAGGGAGGCTTCTGGGGAAACTGGGGGTTATGAATGACCTCTTCTGGTGTTTGTTAAAGAATCAAGGCTGGGCGTGTTGGCCCATGCCTGCAATCCCAGCACTGAGAGGCCAGGGCAGGAAGATGGCTTGAACCCAGGAGTTTGAGACCAGCCTGGGCAACATGGCAAGACCTCATCTCTACTAAAAATTGAAAAATTAGCCTGGCACAGTAGCGTGCACCCATAGTCCCAGCTGCTTGAGAGGCTGAGGCAGGAGGACCACTTGAACCCGGGAGGTTGAGGCCGCAGTGAGCCATGATCACGCCACTGCATTCCAGCCTGGGTGACAGAGTAAAACGCTGTCTCAAAAAGAAAAAAAAAAAAAAAAAAAAGATCAAGCACATATGTCTCCACATAGGCAGGCATCCTGACCCCCGTGCTCCTGACTGAGACTTCTCTGGCCTCCCCCACACTCACTGCCTCTTCTGCATCCCTGGTGTCCTCCCCTCTGGATGGGACTCCCTGGTGTGGGTTGGGCCCAGGATGGGGGCTGCAGGGTGGGCAGGAGAATGAGGGGCTTGTGCTGACCTCACTGCCAAACCCCTGCCCCCATCCCGGTCCCAGCCTTGGAGCAGAGGCTTAGGACCACCTTCCACCTCACATTTCTCTTCCCCCTCTCCCAGATTTTCATGTTCCAGCTGCTCCGGGGCCTCGCCTACTGTCACCACCGCAAGATCCTGCACCGGGACCTGAAGCCCCAGAACCTGCTCATCAACGAGAAGGGGGAGCTGAAGCTGGCCGACTTCGGTGAGGCTGGGGCTAGGGCCGGGGTCTGATGCCACTGGGGTACCTCAAGGTGTGGGTGCAGTGGGGGAGGGCATAGCAGTCAACCCCACAGCACCTGTGGACAGAGGTCCAGTGACATGTCTGCCCCCAGGACTGGCCAGGGCCAAGTCAGTGCCCACAAAGACCTACTCCAATGAGGTGGTGACCCTGTGGTACAGGCCCCCCGATGTGCTGCTGGGATCCACAGAGTACTCCACCCCCATTGATATGTGGTGAGTGAGCGCTGTCGGGACCGAGGAGGGGAGGACAGGCCTGGCCACACCTCCAGACTCTCTTGCTGCCCCAAGGGCCTCGGGGAAGAACTTCCTAACTTCCTTTGCCTAAAAGCCATGTGACATCCTGCTGAACTAGATGTTAAAAAATTAAGTCTGAAATATAATCGGTTAGGGTTTCCCTGGCTTAAATAGACCCTCCCCCAGGGGCCTGTGGGAGGTTACCAGAGACCCAGAGAGTCCAGGAGGGCCCCTATAGTAAATACGATGAATCTTCCCCAAGCATCAGTCCCAGTGAAAATTTTGAAAGAGAAGTACTATTTTTATGTTAAAATGAACAAGCGTATGATTTGGTGTAAAATGAAAAATCAGCCCAAATTGCAAGCCGAACCGCCAGTGGTGATGAATGGCTGCTGTGACTCCGCCCCGAGGTTCCCCCGGAGAACGGATTTATGTACTTCTCTCTTCCAGTGGGGCACACAGTGGAGAGAGTTTGAGACAACACTGCTGAGAGAATTGCCACATGGGCGCTGGCTGCACAGACCCAAACCTCACAGAGCGAAAGGGGAGAGGTCGCAGCTTTCCCGAGCCCAGGGAAGCCCCCAGAGAGGGGCTGTAGTGGGGGCTGGGCAGTTCTAGGAGCCTCCACTGCCCTGGGCCACCCCTCCGCCGCCAGAGCCACGACCCCTGCAGCCAGCTGTGGCAGGTCGTCGTTGGTGCCCTGGTGGAGCAGCCCTAGGAAGGGCGGCCGCCCCTGCCTGATGCCGCCCCTGCCCCTTGCTCCCCGCAGGGGCGTGGGCTGCATCCACTACGAGATGGCCACAGGGAGGCCCCTCTTCCCGGGCTCCACAGTCAAGGAGGAGCTGCACCTCATCTTCCGCCTCCTCGGTCAGTCTCCCGCTGCTCCGCCCCTCTCACCACCAGGGGGCGCCGGAACTCCGTCCAGCCCAGGCGCCGAGCGGGACGGGGAGGAGCGGCTCGCCTAGTTCTCTCCCGGGCGGGGACCCCCCTGTGGCCTCGGCCATCTTTGCTCCCACCTGCTACGTTGCATTCCTTTCAAGTCGGCCTTGGCCCTGGGCCTCACTCAGGCCCTCCCCACCTTCTCTCGTCTCCCCAGGGACCCCCACAGAAGAGACGTGGCCGGGCGTGACCGCCTTCTCCGAGTTCCGCACCTACAGCTTCCCCCGCTACCTCCCGCAGCCGCTCATCAACCACGCGCCCAGGTAGCCCCGGCGCCCGCACCGCCCCTCCTGCTGTGGCCCTGGCTCTCCCACCCCCGCTCAGGCACAGCCTGTGTCCGCGCCTTCTCCTTGCAGGTTGGATACGGATGGCATCCACCTCCTAAGCAGCCTGCTCCCGGTGAGTGACCTCCCGGCGGGGCCCAGGGAGAGGCAGCCAAAGAGCCGAAGTCCCCGTGCCCCATGCTAGGCCTACGTCCCAACTTCTGTGGCTCGTGTGTTCACACGTCTTTGAAACATCCCTGTACTCTCCACCCCAAGGCCCAGGGGAGCGCTGGCCTCCATACACATCCTCTGGAGTCTCTGCACTGCGAGCCCAAACCGTTACTAGCTGTGTAGCTCTGGGCAAGTTACAGAGCTCCTCCATGTCTCCGTTTCCTCCACTGCAAAGTGGGATTAATTCCTATTTTATAAGCTGGCAGTGAGGATACATTGAGATGACAGGACACACTTAGTGTGGTGCCTGTCTTCTAAGGCACACGGTGAAGGGTCGTTATCGGCACAACGCTATGTTCTCCTTCTAATCATGGTTGGTTTGCATCTGTATTTCTATCTCAAGAGAAGGTCACTGTCCTCAAGTTTCATTTCTGGTTTTTTCTGGTGGCTGGAGACCAAGGAGCCTTCCCCTGAGTCTTGAGATGGCTTGAGGTTGGGTTTGTGGTAGGGGCTGGAGGCTGACCTAGGGCTTCTCCTGTTAGTCTCAAGCCCCACCCACCTTGGTGCTCTAACCAGCACAAGAGTCCTGCTGCTCAGAGGGTTCCCTGCAGCCCCCCAGCCAGGGCCCAATAGCCCCACCCTGTGCCTTTCAGTATGAATCCAAGAGTCGCATGTCAGCAGAGGCTGCCCTGAGTCACCCCTACTTCCGATCTTTGGGAGAGCGTGTGCACCAGCTTGAAGACAGTGAGTGTTGTCCGGGCAGGGAGCAGGGCCACCCAGAACCAAGGAAAGGGGGTGGTGAGTGTGGGTAGAAGAACCAGAACAAAGAGGCCAGAAGCCCCAGGCCCAGCTGAGCAGCCCTGGGCACCTGGCCTCCCCTGCTGGGGTTCTCACTGCAAACTGAGGGGGCAAACAGTGGAAATGAGACGCTGCCTCCAGGGCTCAGTTGGTCCCGCTCCACCCAGCTCTCTCTCCACCATGTCCTCTCCCCCAGCTGCCTCCATCTTCTCCCTGAAAGAGATCCAGCTCCAGAAGGACCCAGGCTACCGAGGCTTGGCCTTCCAGCAGCCAGGTAGGGGCTTGTGCTCTCCTGGAGCCCTTCCCTTGTTAGTGGAAGCCAGGACAGGCTACCCCTCCCCAGTGGGGAATCCCATGGTCCCTCCGCCACTTTCTTCCCTTTGGAGTCTTCAGGGAGCAGAGAAGGGGTTGGTTTCTCCTGCCTAGGCTTCCTCGTCCAGCTCTTCCCTCTTCAACCCTCACCCCAGACAGGACATTGTGTTTGACAGTAGCCCTGGCAAAGAGGCATGCTGTCTCTGGTGCATTCTCTTTGCAAACTCTGAGCTCTCTAATCAGATTCCATCCTGGGAGAACGGTCCTTTGTTCCTAGAACAGTCAATGGCCTTGGACATTGACAAATGCTTCCCATGCATCCTGTCCTTTAATCCTTAAAACACCCCTTGAAGTTGGTACTACTACTGTTCCCCATTTCATAGTCAATGAAACTGAGGCTCTGGGAGGTTAAATCACAAGACATGCAGCTAGTAAGTAGCAGAGATGGGATTTGACACCAGGTCGGACCCACTCCTGTGTGCATGCCCTTGCTTGCTCTGTCAGAGCAGCTCTGGGGGACAGTGACTGTCCCTGCTGGTCTGGGGTATGCCTTGGCCCAGCCTCTTCGCTGCAGCCCCACCTCCTCCATTCTCCAGGACGAGGGAAGAACAGGCGGCAGAGCATCTTCTGAGCCGCGCCCACCCTGCCGTGGCCCAAAGGACAAGAGATCACATGGACCACAAATTCGGGTAGGATGGAACCTGTGTGGCCCTCGGAAGACTGAAGAACGAGGGCTGACAGCCAGCCCAGAAGACCGTTTGGCAGCCCTGCTGGCCACGGCTGTTTCTTCTCTGTGCTTCCCACGTGCCTCCCCAGTAGTCCTCACCTGCATACCAACCCCTCCATTACCCACGTTGGGGCTGGCATGAGCTGCTTCCCTGAGAAGACATGAGAGGGAGGGGGGACCTTGTACCCTCTCCCACCCTGAAGTGTTTGGGCACCTGCGTGGGATGCACATGGGCGAGAGAATTAAGGCGCCAGGATGGGCACTGTGCCCTGGATACAGGCTTTACCCTCCTCCCCCAGGGGCCTGCCTAGGGCCAGTTTGGTAGTCCCCTTTTCTGGTCCCTTGGAGCCCACAGATGTTTCATCTTTTTCCCTTCTGAGAGCAAGAAGAGACATGGCATGCTCTCTGGGACCCTGGAATCCTAGGTAACCACATGTGTGCCAAAGCCTGCCCTACCTGGCAGGTGTCCCACAGCAACAAAAGGAGTAGTAGTCCCCTTTCTTTCCATCAGCCCTACCCCACCCTCATTCCCCCGACACCCTCTGGCTTGAACCGTGGCTGAGCAGCGCCGGCATGCTTGGATGCCCAGCTATGTCCAGAGGTGGCCTGGGTCCGCCAGTTGCACGCCTGCCACCTCAGCCAGCCCCCACCCAGCTCACCAGTCTGAATGGAGTTGCCTTAAATTGGCAGGTGGTAGCGTGCTCACTGCCCTTGGAGCTGTGACCGGCTCCTGCCTGTCCACCCCTTCCCCAGGTGGCTTCTGCTTATCTTATCATCCTGGGGCTCCGATTAGCCAGGCCTGGTCAGGGTCCTGGGGACAGCACCCAGATATGCAGAGTCACCCTGACGCTGGTACCGGGCTGACCTCAGCTCCCGGAGGGTCGCACAGCCTCCCCATCCCTCCTTCCCGGCCCTTGTGGCTCATGTCCACCTGATCCCAATACCAGCTTTCCCGAGCCCCTGCCACCCCAGAGGGCAGCCACGACAGGGAGAGGTATAGATGCCACCATCTGAGGTAGAGGAATGTGGACCAGGAGCAGGCTGTGATGCTGAGACACTTGCCTCGGGGGGCCGGGAGCCTGGGGGGCCAGGGCCCCTGAAGAAGGCTCCCCTCTGTATCCCCCAGGTGTCCTCAACACTGGACTGATCCTGAATGGCACAGGCCAAGGGGAGGCTAGCCTCACCTTTCTACCCAGGGCCCCTGCCCTGCCCACCTCAGGCCCCCACCCTCCACTCCTCCCCACGGTACTGTGAACATCCTGTGACTCAGCGCAGAGACGGATAATATATTTAATTCATGTTGTACAGAAAGGAGCGAGCGGTCTCATACAGAAAAGCTGATTTTGATAGATTGATGCCAAAGATGGAGAACCGAAGGCCCCTCTCCAGGCCTAATGAGTGTGGGTGGGGCGTGCTTGTGTGCATGTGTGTATATGTGTGTGTGTGTGTGTGTTGTATATATATATATAAAATGAGGAGAGAGTTTGATTTGTGTGTATCTCTGACCTCCGCCTCACCCCAGGCTGTGGGACAGGTGCCTAGCATTCCCCCTGCTGTATCCTGGGTGCTGCTGCGTTTGGAGCGAGAAGTTGGCTTTTGCTGAGGAGCATCACTGGTGGTTGTGGGTAGGCAGAGGAGCCCCAGGCCTGGGAGTCTGACCTGTGGCCTGGCATTGGCCCAAGTTGGTGCCTGTGGGGTGGGGCTGGCCAGGAGAGCAAAGAAGGACTCCTGGGCAGGGGTCTGGGGTCTGGCCGTGCAGATGACGCCTGTGTTCCCAGCACCAAATGGCCCCCTGGCTTCTGGGGAGGGAGGAGGCAGGATCAAGATGGGGTTGACATGGGAGATGGCCAAGACCAGGGCAGCAGGATGAGGGTGTGAGCCTTGCTGTAATTCAGGCCCTGCAAGCATTACTGCAGCCCTCGAATACACCTCCTGCTGTTGCCTAGACCACCTCCCCATCTTTGATCTGGACGCAACCCCTGCCCACATCACACACAGCTCCCAAAGTGCTCAGAATCCTGCTGTTGTCCAATTCAGTGTCCAGGTTTGTTCTTCCCGAGACCACTCTGAGAATACCAGGCCCCAATCCCTGCCTCGTGACCTGTCCTCGTGCCTGGCCTTAAGCACTTTGCAGTTTGCCGGCATGGTTTGCAGTTACTGGAGAGGGTGGCTGCTTTCCAGAGGAGGAAGCTCATGCTGAGGCTGATGATGTCTCCCAAGGCTCTGGAAATAAGGGGCGGGCCAGGGCTCCATTCTCAGCCCAGCACCAGTTCTACCCAACGAGACCTCCTCACTTTGCTTGTAGGCAGCCAGACACCAAAGTAGGATTGTAACTCAGACAATTAGTGCTTGAGGGGAGGAGAAGGGCTGGGAAATGCAGTGGTGGGAATTGGAAACCAGACATTTATTAAGCTCCCTGCTGGGTGCCAGGCAGCCCTGTGCCCAGGCATTATCTCACTGAATCCTCGTGGAAACCCCCCTTTCTCCCCACTTTGCAGATGAGGACATGAGCCTCCCAGGGGTAGCCTGGGGTCACATACCAAATTAGAATCCCAGATGTCTGCCCCCCAGCCCTGTGGTCTTCAAGGAGTGGCAGGCGTGAGGAGGGTTAGGTGGAGACAGTGCAGAGGCCCTGGAGGGAGGAAAACACACAAGGAAGGACATGGGCAGATGCTGCCTTAAGGAGCACTTTGCAAGGCCATCCTTGTGGCAGGCAGAGGTGGCCCGGCGAGGCTGCATCTTTAGGAGTCGCTGGGGGCAGCCATTCTTGCTGCTGCAGCTGTGGCCCTGCGGTGGAGGCACACACACTTCTGACATCAGGCACTCTGAGCTTCTGCCCTAGAAAGCTGCCAGGGCTGGGGATGCGGGCCAGCCTGGGGTTGTGGAACTCCGCTGGACAGGCCCACACCAGGCCTTGGATATGGTTGGTGCTCAAAAAGTGATGGCTCCGGAGAAGGAAGCTGGGTTCGGGCATGAAGAGGGGCTGAGTGATTTTGGCCATGAGCTGCTACTGGGTTCCCAGGGACCAGGCTGAGCTACAACACAACCCAATGTCCTGGAGTGTCGGTTTCCTGGGCACCCCTGCAATCATTTCCTTATGCTAGTGACTCTCAAAAACAGGAGCCTGCCCCATTCTGCAGGAATTCCCGGCCCAAAGCAGCCCTTTGCAAGTCATTTCCCCCTCTGGCCTCACTTTTGCCATCTGCCTGCTTCTGGGACAGGTCAGGAATATCCAGGGTGCAGATGCCTTCCCCTCCACCATGGCAACTTGGCAGGGGCATTTGAGGCATGCAGCAGCCCTGCAGCTTCAGACAAAATGTCCTATTTGCTGAACTCTACAGGGTGGGGGTGATATCAGCTCCCATGCTTGGCACTGCCCACATCATCCTATACCCCGGTGGGATCTGGAGCTGGCTGTCCCCTGCCTCACCCTCCTGTGGGCTCCCACTCACCGTTCCCCTACTGTCTGGGTCCAGTGGTCAGGGCTGATGTCTAATAGGCTACCACTCCTCTACCCTGCTAGGCCCCCTGGGCCAGCCAAGTGTCAGGCACTGTTGCAGGCCTGCTCCTTTCCTCCCTCCTTGAAGCATCCCAGCCTCCTTTGGGCCATCTCCCCACCTCTATCTCTGCTCAGACCCTTGCTTTTGGCCGTGACACTCTACAGCACCCCCATTGAGCCCCTTTATCTCCAGAAGCAAACCATCAGCGCCATGAATTGGCCACAGCCGCCTCCATGCCTCGCCCTGTGGTAGATGCCAGGACATCAAGATACATGACATTCCACCCCCACCTTCCAGAAGCTCAGACCTGCCGGCAGAGATGGCCTTGATTACAACAGGTTTTATCAAGAACCTGCTGTGCATCCAGTGCTGTGCTAGGCACTGACATACATCTGTGAACAAGATGGACAACCCCTATTCTCATAGAGCTTATGTTCCAGTGGAGGTTATAAGACGTTATCCAAATCAACAGGCATATCAAGGGGGTCATAAGTGTGATGAGACAAAATAAAGCAGGGGCAGGGTTGAGGGGGAAGAATGTGATAGCATAGGGTGGGGAACTGCCTGGTCAGGGAGGGACCTCTCCATCGGAAGTGAGCTATGGGCTGGGCATGGTGGCTCACACCTGTAATTCCGGCACTTTGGGAAGCCAAGGCAGGCAGATCGCTTGAGCCCAAGAGTTTGAGATCAGCCTGGGCAACATATCGAGACCCTATCTCTATTAAAAAAAAAATTAGCTGGGCATGATGGCTTATGCCTGTAGTCTCAGCTACTCAGGAGGCTGAGGTAGGAGGATCACCTGAACCCAGGTCGAGCTGCAGTGAGCAGTGATCATGCCACCACCGTCCAGCCTGGGCAATAGAGTAAGACCCTGTACAAAAAAAAAAAAAAAAAAAAAAAGTGAGCTAAGTTGTGTAAGGGGGCCAGGTGGACTGTCAGGGACAGAGTATTCCAACAAAGGCCCTGAGGTGAACATGCTTGAGAACGAGTGAGAGGCAGTGAGGCCAGGGCAGAGTGAGCCAGGCAGCATGGCAGGAGGGCTGGATCATGTGGGGCAGTGGCTCTGCCCATTAGATCCCCCTGGGAAGTGTTTAAGATGCGCGCTGCCATCCGGCCCCACCTCAGATTGATTCAGATGACCCTAACATGTAGCCAGGGTTGAGAACCGCTCACTCTTGCGGGGGCTTGTGGGCCGTGGTGGGGGTTCTGGATTTTATTCTGAGATGGGAAGCCACTGGCCTGTGTTTTTAAAGGCTCAGAGGGTCTAATAGGAGATGTCAGTCCCTTATGAGGACGATGCTGGGGCAGGGAGAGGAAGGGTCTCCCGTGTGGTAGTAGAGCAGCAGCAGGTGTGGTGGGAAGGGGGAAGGGAAGCACCTGCTGTCCTGTGTTGCTGTGAGAGGGACTGTCATCCTAGTCCCAGGGAGGGCCACAGAGGCTCTACGGTTAGGTAACCTGCGTGGCCACACAGGGAGTAAGGTGGACTGTCAGTTCCAACCCAGGTCAGCCTACCTGAGCAGCTGCCTCTGGGCAGGTGTCAGCGCTGGCACGGACATCCCACCTCAGTTGTTTGCATGGAGAATGGGCATCTGGTTTCCAGGGACTGGGAAATCTTTGCCTTCTGGTCACCTAAAAGCATTGTCTGACAGGCAGCCAGTAGGCACCTGGGAGTTGGGCAAAAGTCACTGTCCCCCACCCCACCAAGTGCCCCCTGCCATCACCCAGCCCCTCTTCTGGACCCTCAGAACCTCCTGCCATCTGCCAACTAAAGGCATCATTGGGCGCCGGGGCCCTGCTCCCACCCTAGCTGTGGAGGCCCGGTGGCTGGCGTCATTGCTGATGGTCAGTGCCCAGACTCCAGGCGAGTGTGTGCCAATTCTCCCAGACAGGACGGGTGGGGCCAAGGGTAGCTCTGATGAGATTGCAGGTGCCACATGGCCACTTCCACTTCCTCCCTTGCTTTCGCCTCTCCCTTCCTCCTGCTTCTTTTTCCTTCTCTCAGTGCCCCTTGGGGGCACTAGATATTACTCAGTGGGCGGCCCTGAGTAACTGAAATCCAGAGATCAATAATCTGACCCAGCCTCTTCTCTAAGGAAGGAGATTTTGTAGCCTCTCCCTTGAATCACCCAAGCTTCCAGATCCTGAGGTGTGTTCTCAATGCCAAGCATCAACCCTTGCTCCTGCACCCGTGGGCCCTTCCTGGCGATGTGACGCAAACATGGAGAGCTGAAGCATGGACAGGGCGTGGCTGGGAGGATCCCCGCTGCCCTCCTGCGTGTGGTCAGCACTCCTGCTTGCCCCTTTCTGGGCTAGAAACTTCTAGCCCAGTTCCTCATCTTCCTGTCTTCTCCAGAGCTCCTCCCTCCCTAATTTACTCATTATCCACCAGATGGTTCCAGACTCTGTGCCGGGCTCTGTTTTCAGTACCCAGGATACAAACTTGACTCTGACTTAGACCCCACTCCTAGTAGCTCAGCGTCTCAGAGGCGGCTAGGATGTAATCTTTTATTCCTCTCAGCTTCTTAAGGTCTCAGCTACTTGGGGGAAAGACAGTTGTCCATTAGTCATTCTATTAAAATTTGCCAAGTTTTTTTTTTTTTCTTCGAGAACAATAAAATGTTTTAATGTCCTCATGTTTTCCCTGGAGGAGGGATTGGCTGAGTCCTGGGTTCCTGGGGAGAAGGAATCTTCCACAACCAGGGAAATATCACACAGGCTCCAAAATCACACAGACTTGGATTCAAATCCCAGCTCTACGGCTTGCAAGCTGTGTCAAGTTGGGAACGTTCCTTAACTGCTTTGTGCCTCAGTTTC